TATAATACTAACAAGATGAGAATATACCTGTCTATCCATCCTGTATAGTTAGCATGTGTTGGAAGACCAAAAAAATGGCCATTACCTTGTAAGGAATCTTGCAACTTTCTCCTACCCTGCTGGTTTTGTTCATCCCATGTTGCTTCATGTACGTCTCTGCATGGGGGGCTGGCTAAGGAAAGCCTTCTTCAGCCTGCTGGCCAGCTGCACTAATGACCTCAGGCTCTGTAACTTGTTTAAGTAGGGAGGGGAAAAATGTCTAGGGAAACTTGTTGCGTAGTGTAAGAAATTGTTACATATTGTAACTTGTTGTACTTTGTTAACAATTTTGGATGACGTTTGTAGTTAGTTCCACTGAGTTATTCCATCCCTGCATTTGGGTAAAATGAAGAAGAAAGATTTTAGCAAAATTAACAAAGCTGTAGTGTGGGTGGACACCAGTACACTCAACATAAGAGCAATCCCCTGTTCTGAGGTACGATAAGTGAGTTCAAAATTATGCTTAGTTTCATTCTAGTATTCCTGGGTATACTTTTCATTCCCTGGCACTGAAATTTGTTTTAGTAACAAATCGAATTGAGATATCTGTAAGTGTGTAAGTAGGTCAAGACTTCAAGCTTTTACCATGTATCTCTTGAACTTTAGTTAGTTCCAGACCGTTGCTTTCTTTTTCTAGTCTTGGAATCCTTGTATCTAGTGACCATCTTTATGTGGAGTTGGTTTAGGCTTGCTTTTAAGGGAAGAAAAAGCTCTTGTCCTGCACTGACAAACTTTTTTATCTTTGACTTCTGTTGTCTCTAAATTAATTAAAAAACCCCACTTAAGAAGCAGTGATGATGAATTACGATGCAAGGGGATTATTTTTGCAAGGTGTGTGGATGATTAGCAGTGAAATTCCTATTTAGATTTAGAAATCTAAAGATCGGGGTCTTCCCAAACCACATGGCACTGAAATCTAAGGAACCATAAAAATCGTGCTCGTAGGAGTTGTATTTATTTCACCTAGCTGTAAATAGCTGAAGGATACTAGTCCTGGTTTGTTGTCAAGACTTCCACTGTCAATAACGCAGAAAGACAGATACCTTTGGGTAGTGACTGATGGTTAAAGATAGAAGAGGTGAATTGTACCCCATATAGCAGAAACCTCTCACAATCGTGTCAAAGAAGAGAAGCCTAATAAGCATAGTCCTTCAATGGACTTTTAGCAATACACAAGACTGAGAACCATCACCTTCACTTCCCATTTGATAACTTTTAATCTCTCTTCCCCATGGCCAGATACTACTGACTCTGTGGGTTTGTTAGTTCTCTGTGGGTAAGTCACGCATGTCTCCATGCCTAGCTCCTAGTTTGGAGCGGAGTCAGTGGTCATTATTAGGCAAAGGCTCCTGTAACCTGTAGCCTTTCTATTACAGGATATCGCTATCTTCTTTCTTTTTGCTTCATATAAGATGCATTGTCACTGTTGTCATAGAGTTAGTCTTTGAAATAGATTTCACAGAGTCCTTACATGTCAAGACGAAGACTGCAAATTATCTTCACAAGGAAATGAGTGAAGTTTTAAATATTAATATTTTAAGTTTGGTCTGAGTTGCCTATGCATCAGAAGGTTAGTGAGTTTTTGTCAGGGTTAGAATTGTCTCACTGGTAAACAAATGGCACATTTTTTGAAGTATACATTTGTTTAGAAATGCTCCTGTAGAATCCTTGCTGCACTGTGAACTTCCTTCTAGCTATGCTTTCCCTGTTAATTGTGTACAATGATGACTGAAAAGCTAAAAGATGTGCTTATACAACTTCCTTTTCTCAAGCACATTGAGCTTCATTTCCAGAGTGATCAGGAGGCAGTTGTTATTTGTGGATTTGTTTTCTTTGAGTTCTTTGAGAAGGCTTAGGGCTAAAAAGGATCCCATTGCATGATCAGAGCCAGTCGGATTTAGCCAGGTAAGAACATAAGAAAAGAACTGTGAAAGCCTAATTCTGAGGTGAAGTGAAGGAGCCTATATTTCACTTCTGAGCGTCGGGTCAGGTGACTCAGAAGCAAACAATGATACATCAGGAAGGAAAATTATTATATCAGGCAGCAGCTTGTGTTTCCCAGATTAGGATTCTTGAGCAAAATTAGCTGAAGATTTTCTTTCGTCATTCTAATTAAACTATTCTGCTCTTTTCATTGTCTTAGGTCATTGCTGGTGAATGACAGAGAAGTGCCTTGAGTGCTGCTTCCCAAATATAATTAAATGAGATGTTTTTTGGTGGAAGAGGTTATATATTTGCTGAATTTAAAGCAGCTAAAACAGAAATAGGGACTACGTATATTGAAAGTTAAACTGTGCACCTGTGTATGTTGGATTAGATGGTTTTGAATCTTCAATTGAAGCATTTTTGTTTTAAAATTTGCCCTTCGTTTTCTTGAGTTCTTACGTATAACATTTAAGATGACCACAAAACACAAGTGACCTTTTAGATTTCTGTGCAAAAAGGGACAAGACAAATAAGAATTTTGTAGTCTAACAGATAACATACAGAATCCCAGGTCAACTGTAACTGATTAGGAGTCTGCTGTTGTGTTGTATCTTGTTTTAGAACAGTCTCACTCACTTAGGCAGTAATTTTTGTCCACTGAATTAACCAGGCCGTTCACAATGATGCTGTCTGGAGTGTGAGCTGCCTTTTGCACAGAGGGTGTTCGCTCCCAACAAGGAACAATAATCTGAGCTAGATGTGCAGGGGAAGTTGTAATTTTGCAGTGCAGATATCCTAGAGCTCACTTTGCTAATCAAAACCAGAGAACTCTCCCAGTGCCTATCAGAGTTAGGTTTTATACAGTTTAGATTAAATCTTGTCCATGAAGCAAGCTTAGGAAAGCATATGTGAATGTCAGTTAACAATTTATTCCATATACCCTCAGAAGACTGATTACTGACAGCACTAGGAATGCTAGGCATTAAACGTTTGCACTCTTGTGTGTTCCTGAGAAAGAGGTAACTGCATATCACCGCCTGTAATATTATGTTCCAGGATCGTGTCCTACATTTGTAGTAATCCTTATTATAATGCAAATATACCTTTATCATATTGCCTTCTAAACTTTGTCCCAGTGTAACATAGAGTATTATTCGTTCTGCAGTTCTAGCAGTACTCTTATAAGCTTACAGTGCATGTATGGAATTTATCATCAAATTTACTTCTGTTCATTTCCATAGAAGACCATGCACCTACGGTTATAATTTACTTTATTGTTTAAAGCAAAGGTATTCACTTGAATTTGAGCAACTTCTTATTCATTTAAGGGCTCCATAAGACAGTTTACCAACTGAATTTAGAAGGGGTTGAAACAAGCCTTCACTTATATGGATAATAAACGTATGGGCAGATTCCATTTCATAGACAACAGTTTGTCTGCTTGACAATTTCTTCAGAACATCATTAATAGCCCTTTCTATTTAAATAATTCAATTCCGTGTCAGATGAAAGTCATTACAATGAACATCGGTTCTTTTCTTCTGTTACATTTGTACCTTCCTTAATTCTGAACAATAGACTCGGCCTTCCACAGCTTGCTAACAATATCTACTTCTTGTGTGTACTTTCTGTTTTGGACTATGCCACTGGATTTGTGTTCCTTGGGTTATGTATGATCCATAAGTACATGGAGCATGTGGACCTCCAGACACTCCCTGTATAAACAGGTTTTTCATGAGCAGTTGAACTAATTGATTTTGTTTTCGGTTTTGGTATGGATTTTTGTTCTTTTTCCCTACGTACACCACTGGTGACCCCAGCTCCCTTTCCCGGCTCTGTACAACTCCCCCATTGGGCCAATTAATGCACAGCTGCAACTAATGCTAATTTGCTGTTTGCTGATTTGGGTCATCTGACTTCTGTGGAAAAAAAGTGTATAACAGAATTTTGTCTGTTTGTCTCTTTTCTCAACACAACCCAGCCACAAACTTTTAATGAATTCTTTGGGAACCTATTGGGGGGACAGAGGTGAGATAGAAATTTTTTTTAAGATTTGACTAATAAAATAATATAAAATGCTCTGTCACACAGAGTTTTTCATATGGAGTATGTTGGTGACTTAAGGAAAAAGGAAGGATAGTTGTAATTCATTTTATCACATTATCATTGAATATTTTGAGAAGTTAGATATTCAGAGAAAGAAAGATGGAAGTTATCTAATATGTAAACTTCAATTACAAAATGTGCAAGAATAAAACCTGGCATTGTCAGCCAATGACTCTATCTAAATATTCTTTGAGTTTTCCAGTAAAAGGTCTTGCTGTTCATAGTTCACATGAAAGCGAACCTTTGGGTTGGGCATAATTAATAAAATGTACAGGCCAAATTAGCCTAAAAAATTGAGTTGGAAAAAATGAGCTAATGTAAAAATATAAAAAACATACAGCAAAGTGATTTTAAACATTTTTATACCCACTCCATTACCTAAAAAAATTCTTATGTTTCTGGCTCTGCTGTCTCCAGGGATGCAAAACTGCATCCTGTGGTATTTTTTTTCCTCTTCTCAAAAGAAAAAAAGGAATTTTTGCTTTGAACTTAAAAGCTCTATTTTTGTTTCAAACAGCCTTTTTGAGAACTGTATCAGTACTCTAGAAGGCTGTATGAGTCTATTTTGCTTTTATATGTGGTACAATACCAGTAATACAATCAAAACATGAAATTCTATATCCAACAATGGATAAATGGTTTTTAACTACTTTACTTTAACTAAATCTCTTTTTTCTGCTTTGGTATTTCTTTCTCAAGAGAATTTGAGCACATACATTTTTTTACGATTGTCCATGAATAAATTACTTGTAGTTTCTTAGCCTGTTCAATAAAAATACAGAATATAAATTTTAAGTTAAAAAAGAAATAGGAAGAGTGGATCTGTCACTCTGAGAGATTGGTCTAGGATTTCTTGGAGAATTTATTTTAGGAAATAATTCTGGATTTCTTTATTCTTTCTTTATTTTATTTTTTTTCTCTGTGTTCAGATGGAAGACGTCATAGCCCGCATGCAAGATGAGAAAAATGGGATTCCTATTCGTACAGTCAAAAGTTTTCTTTCCAAGATCCCAAGTGTCTTTTCAGGTAAGAGTCAAAGTGAATTTCATACTATTTAAAGTTTGCACTCTACCTTATGTAAGGGGATGCTCAAATGGAAAACGCTTTTAACTGAGTGCTATGGGGAATTCACAAGTCATCTGGTCTGGAGGAGACATTGACTATCCTTTGAATACTTTAATTATAGAAATTTTTAACGTTTCTCTCACATTGGAGTGGGCTTACACAGAGATGTTTTTGTCCTGTAAATTAAGTGAAAAGAATACTTAATTTACTACAAAAAGTCAATTATCTGAAGATGGCAATATTTTTATTGCAGAGTTTCTGCATTTCAGATCTGTTTTTTAGCCTGTTTTCATGGCAGGTATGAGTTTAGTGTATAGGCCAGTACATGAAGATAAGAACTGCCACAGCAGCAGCACAAAAGGAACATCATCGCTGCACTCTCCAACTGATACCGAATTGTGGCTGTAGACATTTAATACAGCATTTATCATCTGCTTGTGTAGCTGGCTGCCTGTGCCCAAGAAGCTAAGACTGAGATGTCTGTGGTGATTTGCAAGACAGCTGTAAACTTTATAGCTAATCCAAGTCAGTATTGTCATATGGACAAAAATCTGTCCATTTATTAATTAACTAGTATAATATATTTATTCATTTACATACATACTTTTATATCAATTTATGCATTTATATATGTGGATATGTATCTTTTTGTGCTACCGATGAATATGGAGTTCCTTTGAAACAGATGCTATT